CCCACTATGCTCCCCATCACCCAGCACAGAGACAAGCAGGCAGGGCTGAACCAGGCCCCCCTCTATGCTCCCTATCACCCAGCTCAGAGGCAGGCAGCCAGGACTGAACCAGGCTCCCCAGCTGTGCTCCCCAACACCCAGCTCAGAGACAGGCAGGCAGGACTGAACCAGGCTCCCCACTGTGCTCCCCATCACTGGGCTCAAATGCTCTTGGCATCCTTGATCTCGCCTCCTTCTCTGTTTCCCAAGAGCATATGATTGTGGGCATTGACTTTGGATGGCTTTGTTGTTGTTCTCAAGCCTCTTTCATCATTGGTATAATTTTACATAAACTTGGCATTCCTTTAAGTTTTTTAAAAATATGTTCGGTTCTTAAATGTCTCCCAAGGGAGAAAGGGGTTTCTGTAAATGATTTCGTTTTCTTCTTCTTAATGTTGAACTTAATAAGGCTCAGTTACTGGATCTCCGTTAACGAGTTGGGTTGTTTGTTGGTTTATTTTCATTTTGGAAACTCCTCTCTGTAGTGAACAGCACACTCTCTCCTCCTGAAAAAAATCCCATGAGGAATTTTGATCAGATGCTGGGGCTGTGGGGGCAGGTTCTCTGGAGGGTGTCATGTTTCTAGAAGGCTCCTAGAAGGCAACAAGTCTTGCAACCTGACTCTTTACTGACTTTTTACCTGTAGGATTGCCTCAGGGCAGGAGAAAGGACACAAGCATGCTTCCAAACAAAATGATGCATTTCATAAAGGAAGAAATATTTTTAAACCAAGAACTGACATTCACTTGACCCTATAAAAGGCAATGTGGGAGGGTGAGGGACCTGGAAAGCAATGGCTTGGGTTTGAGTCCCAGCTCTGCCACGTACCTGTGTGACCCTGAGCAAGTTACTTAACTTCTCTGTGCCTCAGTGTCCTCGTCTAGAGAATGAGGGTGGTAACTGTCCAGGTGTTTTCGTGAAGATGAAGTAGTGTTTGCTAGGACTTCTCTGGGGTTTTCTGGAACTCTCGGGGCTAAAACTGGGAAAGTCCCACGCAAACTGGGTGAGTTGATCAACTTGCAATGAAATGAGGGCAGACGGTGTGCTCTTTAGGAACCGCCCCTGCATATTTCAGTGCTCCATAATGTTTATGTCATTATTTGTCGCTGCCTCTAGCAACCATCTTATGCCTCGTGATGTGTTGCCATGGTCTCTCATTTCCTCACTATTCACTCTGCAGGGGCCTTCAATGTGCCTTTTATTCTGGCAGGACACCCCCAAAGTCCCCAACAAAGTTTCTGTCCACTCACGGGACAAGCACTGGGAGAACTGGTCATATGCCAGGCAAGCAGCTTTTAAACCAGGGCTGCGGAACCTTTTTTCTGCCATTTGGATATTATACCGTCATGCGCAGGCCATACAAAATTATCACCTTCAAAACTAGCTTGGTATATTTGGTCAAACATTTAGTTAACTCACCTCTCATGCCTTGGCAGGACCAGACCAAATGATTTCGCAGGCCTTCTATGGCCGGCGGGCCGGATGTCCCCTACCCCTGTATGAATCCTATGGTCTTTTCCCTCATCTTTCAGGCAACATGTAACTTAAAAGTTAACATGGGGAAAACGCAACGTGATTATAAAATGGGAGACTTGAGTGACGCTCCTGCAAGCGCAGGAATACCAGTGAGGTGGCCACCCCCAACCCCCACCCCTCCCCTCCATCCCCGGAGCTGGGAAGCTGGGAAGCTGGGAGCGAGGCCTGCATCAGATTCTCCCTCTGCCTTTGGCCTCCTGAGCGGTGAGAGGACACACTTCTGTTGTTTTACGCCTCCCATTTGCAGTACTTCGTTACGACAGCCCTAGAAAATGACTAACGGTCCCCTTCCACAGCCTGTGTCCAGCCCCTCCCCCTCCTGTGTCCTGACACCAGCAAGGACCCCATCCTGGGTCTTCTGCCTGCGAGTTTCCTGTCCTCAATCTACCGTGGACACCGGTTCTGACTCCCAAGTCAGAAACCTGCAATGATATGCCTACATCACCATTTTCCCAGACTTACCTGAGGGTAAGAATCCCTGGATGATAGTTAAGATTACAGGTTCCCTGAGGCCCATTCCAGAAATGGGACCACAGAAGGGGGGCCCTCAAACCTGCATTTTTAATATTCACCCAAGATGATTCTTAGCCTCAGGCGTGCTTGGGACATCCTGGCCTACAAGATAAAATCCCTTGGTTGAATGATCTCCATAAAATGGCACCAAGCCCCCTACTTAAATGTCATCTCCCGAGGATTCCCAGGGTCTGGAAATCCATCCCAGTGCGATCACTGCCTCACTCTCCTTCAACTGTCCTCCACTCAAGGGTGAGTGAGAACTTGGAGAACTAGTTTGTTCTCACTATTTTCCTCTCTAGAACATCTCTTTGTTTCCTCCTTCTTCTAGATCTAGACTCAAAGGCCACAGGCATTAATGTTATTTCTAATTATTCAGAGACTAGAGGCCTGGTGTATGAAATTCATGCGGGGGGGGGGGGGGTCCCTCAGCCCAGCCTGCACACTCTCCAATCTGGGACATCCCTCTCGCAAGCCTGGACCACTGGCTCCTAACCGCTCACCTGCCTGCCGGCCTGATGCCCCTAACTGCTCCCCTGCTGGCCTGATCTCTCCCTAATTGCCCTCCCCTGCCGGCCTGATCCCCCATAACCGCTCTTCCCGGCTGGACTGATCACCCCTAACCACCTCTGCCTCAGACCCCGCCACTGTGGCTTTGTCTGGAAGGACCTCCAGAAGACATCCTGTCTAATTAGCATATTACCTTTTTATTAGTATAGATGGCTTCTCAATGAACTTCTCCTGGATGACCTGGCCCTGCCCACCTCACCTCGGGTTCACCTGGAGTCATTCTTCTCCTTCATCTGAAGCTCCAGGCACGGCCTTTCTTTGAATTCTTCAAAAACACCAAGTTCTGCCCTTACTGGACCCTTAGTACTGCTCTTCTACCTCGACCCCACCCTCACCACCTTGTAAGACTTACATATCACATCCTCAGAACCTTCCCATCCTAAATAGAACACATACACACACACACTCTACTTATTCTCAGTCACCACACTGTTAAAACAGTTGCCATCATTTAAAAACCAGAAAGTTTCACTTAAAAATGTCAGCGTCTCCTCTAGAGTCAGACCTGCACTGTGAAGCTCGCCTTCCGCACAGCCACACCAGCTGGCGGAGAGCCAGGCTGGGGCTGGGGCTGGGGCTGGGGCTGGGGCTGGAGCTCTCTCCTCCGCAGGCCCCTCCCTGCCTCTTCACTCCTTTCAGTTACAGTCTTGTCTGTGGCCCTCCCCTGCCCCGCCTCCCAGCTGGTCTTATTCCCAGAGCAGCCCCAGCCAGCATCTAGCCTGTGCCTGGCACATAGCTGGACCTCTATAAAGATGTGCTGAATGAATGAATAAATGAATGGACGGATGTCCTGCCTCCTCCCTAAGTCTCACGGCCACACCACTCATTCTGCCATTTAATCACGCCCTTCCCTGCAGAACTCATTACTTTGCTGTCCCCAGTGCCTACCTCCTGGCTAGATCTTATGAAAACACAAAGCTGATCCTTTTATCAGCCCGTTTTAAAGATTTTTCTCCCAGCACCAACTGGAGAAAGCATAACCTCCTCCCCAAGGCTTTTGAGGTCATTGTCATCTGGTTCCCACCTACTTCTCCAGCCCCCATCTCCAGAGAGGACCCCCACCCCGCACCCACCCATACCCCACTCAATGGCTCGGGGAACACACGGTGTTTTTTCTCCCCCCACACTCTTCTGGGAAGCTCCCTCTCCCTGGAATGCCTCCTCCCCTTCTCACTGCCCGCCCCCCCCCCCGCCCCGCCCCCATGCCTCTGGCTAACTCCTACTCATTCTTCTGCCCTCGCTCTAACCAAAGTCACTTCACCCCTGAAACACTCCAGAACTCCCCGGGCTGACTTAGTCATTCTCCCTTTCTACTCCCACCCACCTCTCCTGTACCCCGGCCTGGTACTGGGTAATGTCTCAAAACAGCAGCTGGTGTCTCCTGAGCACGTGCTGTGTGCCAGGCACTGAGCGAGCTTTATCACCTTTAGTCCTCACACCCCAGCAGAGCCCTGCCTAGAAGGTCCCCGCGCCCCCTCCCACCCCCCCACCCCCCCACCCCCGACCCCCAGGCTGAGAGTGGGGAGGGTGGGGGAGGGGGCAACTGGAAAAACAAGAGGATCATTTTCTCACCTCCAGCTTTCCTGAGAGGCCATCCCTGCCACATCATTTAAATTTTTCTCTCCATCCACACCTTGCCCCCGCTTCCCGCACACAGCCAGGCCTCCCCATCCCCCTTCCCCGCTTAAGTTTTCTCCAGGGCTTTTAACAGGAACACACTATATATTTTAATGAAATAATTGGTGCATTCTCTCTCCCCTGGGATGTCAGCTCCAGGAGGCAGGGATTCTGTTATGTCTTCTATACTACAGGATCCATCTAGACTAGTGCCTGGCACATCACAGACACTCCCTGAATGGCTGTTAATTCAAAGAAGGTAGGTACTATTACTTATCTTCAGTTTATTCTTGTGGAAAGTGGTCTTTAGAGAGAGTTCCACAGCTGGCTGGTGGAAGAGCCAGATGTGATCTCTGGGTGGTCAACTCCAACAACCCCACCACATCCTTAACTACTGTGCCCACCACTTCCAGAAGACGTCTCTCTGTGCATCTGACTTCTCAGCCACAGTTCCTTGGAGGCAACAACTCTATCGTACCCATATTTGTCTGATCCTGGTAAGAGCTCAAGGGATGTTTACTGAGCCGATCTATGTGTAAACGGTGAAGTGCCAGACAGTAGGAATCATATCTTCATTCTCTTTTCTTATTATCCTTCATCTCCATGTCAAGCACAGTGTTACATACACGGTTGGGGTTTATTAAATACTCATTAATGAATTATATTATGGCAGTAGGTAATAAAAATAATTAGACAGCAATAATGACGATAAAAGGTAACATCTATGGAATTCTGACCCTGTATTGAGTCCCATTCTAAGTGCTTTATACATGAATTGAGACAAGTGAATCTCTTAGTAGCCTCATTTTACAAATGTGAGAAACCAAGGGTCACAGAAGTTAAACACTTGCCCAAGGTCACCATCGAGGAAATGGCAGTATCTGGTGAGTCCTGTTATCAATGGCTCCAGGCTGACTCTCAGCATATCTAAAAGATATCCATGGAAAGGTGGTTCTGTGTGAAAACAAAAAGAATAGTTTATTACACATTTCTGTTTTATTTCAAGGAATTGTTTTCAAAGGCTTTCATAGGCAATATTATTAGCTAAGTAATAACCACTAATATTCGCATCACACTTGATGCTCTGCAAAGCTGTTATCTGATTCCAGCAACAATGCGATGGGCACTGCCATCTCCTTTTATAGAGGAGGAATCTGAGGCTCCGAGGGGTTAAGGCAGCGGTTCTCAACCTGTGGGTCGCGACCCCTTTGGGAGTCGAACAACCCTTTCACAGGAGTTGCCTAAGACCATCGGAAAACACATATATAATTACATATTGTTTTTGTGATTAATCACTATGCTTTAATTATGTTCAATTTGTAACAATGAAATTGGGGGTCACCACCACATGAGGAACTGTATTAAAGGGTCGCGGCATTAGGGAGGTTGAGAACCGCTGGGTTAAAGGAACAGGGTCAAGGTCACCCAACCAGCAAGGAGCAGAGCGAGGGGCTCAAATTAGCATCCATCACCTAAAATTTCTTTTTAAGAGCTGAGTGCCTCCAAATACAAAGCTCTTTCCTGCTGCTACTTAAATGTAACTAAGATAATCCTCGGGAAAGCTTTGCACAGTGCCTGGCTCCTGGTAGGACGCTCTTAAGTGTTAGTTTTCATCATCTTCACCAACACTTCCTAGAAACGAGACTATTTTAGCTGATGAGTACAGCCTGCCTGTTGACCCTGAAGAAAAGATTACCCTTTTCTTTCCAGTTTACCCCTGGTAATGTTGAAATAATGATCAATCTTCATTATCCCCGGATACTGCAGAACGTTGAGAGCTGGAAGGGACTGTGGAGATGATCTCATTCTGGCGCCTGCATTTGCAGATGGAGAAATTGAGTCCCATAGAGGGAAAAGGTCAGCTCCTCAAAGGCTGGGCTCATGCTCAGTACCTGGCACATTCTGCCTCCCACGGAGACGGTGATGTTATCTAGAAGGGCAGCTAGCCTCTAGGCCACAGGGGATAACTCATCGGTCTCTGGAGCAGTGAGTTCCAACCCCCACACCCGGCGCGCGCGCACGCGCGCGCGCGCACACACACACACACAGTATTAAAGTATTATAAGCTATTAACCAGAAAACAGATCATGTGACTTAATTCCACCTCTGCTAAAGAGCTTAAAATGCTTTGGTGAGTAGTCTGAGATTCATAAATATACACTTCAACTCTTTCTCAAAGAATTATTAACCAGCTCCATCAACTGGAACTTGAGCAATCGAGGAGAAAAAGAGCTGGCAAGAGAAACTTCTTGAAAAATACCTCACCACCATTATGTATGACTCCTTGCCACCTCTTTTTTTTTTCTTCTAAGAGTTGGAGGAAGAAGGAAAGAAAAAAGTATCATTATGCATGACAAGAATCAGTAAAACTAATTGTGGAAAATTACAAACTCTTTTCAGCCAACGAACACCACCATGTGTTAAGTTGTAGAACTTGAAAACAGAAAGTCTTGAATAGGATAAAGCAGAAACGTAACAACCCTCACTAGCTCCTTTCAGGGGTGGAGATGGGTTGGAGAGATCAGAAGCTGTGTGGGTGTGATAATCAGCGGGAGCCAGTTCCCAACCATTGATTTTTGTGAACCTATTAATTTATAGAGTCCGTGTCCTACACTCCCTTCACTTTATCTTCCTAACTCCCTGAGTACTAATTCTCCCAGGCAAGGGACTAGCTTTTCATTCCACATGTAGGTCTTGATCAGCTTGAGCTCCAGGATTCGGGGGTGGGGAGGGATGATGGAGAGAAATGAGATTAGGATTCAGCCTTCAAACCAAAGAAACAGATATAAACCCTTCTGTATGCTTTTCTTGGGGCTTCATGTTTCTGGAGAAAGGCTGAAATTCAGGCCCCGTGAACAAGCTTGTGGTCCTAACAGCTCTCAGGATGACAGGGTTCCCCTCCTCCACGGCGCCTTTATCAAAGTCTAACTATTTTCCACATTCCTTCCTCGCACAGCCCAGGCGTACTTGTGAAGCAGGCCTCCGCGCAAATTCTGCTCAGGAGATCCAGGGAGCGCTGGCCTGGCTCACTCCCTCTGAGAAAGGAAAGTCCAAGTAAAGAGGGCTGCCACACCCTGGGGGAGGGGAGAGAGGATGTGACGACACCTCCAGGAATGCAGGGCCCACGCAGGTGTGTTGGCACCCACAACCTTCCTTTTTAAAAGGACCTGATAAATCAGTGCCGATAACAGCAATAAAGCGCAACCACCCAACACTCACTCACACAAAGCTGGGGCTCTGGCTCCCAGGGTGTGGCCCTGGCAACTGGGGAGAGGAGAGTGACAGCTGAGATGAAGATCCCTAAAGGTTGTGACATGTTTTCTAGCCAGCGGTTCTCAAAGTGGGGTCCCTGGGACCTTGCTAGGGGATTCTCAGTGCCAAAACTGTTTTCTCAATATTGTCATGTCACGTGCTCTGATCACCCTCCTTGAGTATACAATGGAGTTTTCTAGAAGGGACATGACATGTGATGATATCATCACCCTGATGACTACTGGAATGTGTGCCTGTGTATTCTTGTATCTTAAACATTTCTCACTTTTCATTCTAATACAACGAATATTGAAAGGCATAATACATATAAATAAAATACATGGTGGCCTCTGTAATTTTTTAAAAATACATTTTTATTGATTTCAGAGAGGAAGGGAGAGGGAGAGAGAAACATCAGTGATGAGAATCATTGATTGGCTGCCTCCTGCATGCCCCCTACTGGGGATTGAGCCCAAAACCAGGGCATATGCCCTTGACCGGAATCGAACCCGGGATCCCTCAGTCCACAGGCCAACGCTCTATCCACTGAGCCAAACCAGCTAGGGTACCTCTGTAATTTTTAAAAGTAGTAAGGGGTCTTGAGACCAAACCATCCTACGGCCTCATCACAGGAGCATGCTTCATTCCCAGCTCAGCTTGAGTCACAAAGTAGGTACTTACTAGTATGAACAGGGGTGGAGAAGGGGTGGAGAAGGGGATGGTATCTTTTCCACCTGTCCTGCCACCCAAAATGGCTAGAAAAACCTTATAATCCCCCACAAGCATTTGGTGACCTGAACCCCTCCGGGGAAAAGATGGGGTTTTCACCTTTGAAGCTAGGTGGGGCACATTAGTATGGAGAAACCACACTCCCTCCGCACCAGCACCCAGCAAAGACCTATCTGAGCACCTCCCAGGAGTCAGGTCCCATGCTACAGGCTCAACAATGAACAAAGCCGATGTGGTCTCTGCCTTCCCACAGCTTTCATTCCAGGGCAGAAGTGAATTACACACACACACACACACACACACACACACACACACACAATAGGAAAACTGCACCTTGTGAGTCACATGCTGACATGCAGGTGCGCAAGGTGTTAAGAGGGATGTGAGATGAGGGAGGAAGGCCCTGAGGACTCAGGTGGAATGAAACATCCTAACCAGCTATTCTTGGCCATTATTCCAGGTGAGACACCCACCTGCAGGCCCGGGCCCAGCTCAGGAGAGGGTTCAACAGCTCTCTGTTGGGCAGGACTCCCACAGTGAGCCCTCCTGCGGGTGGGTGCCAGGGTTTGGGGGTCTCCTCCTCACCTCCACATCGCGGCCAAAGCTAAACAGGGTCCCTGCGAGGCGAGCCGGACTCTAGAGCATGTGGAGAGGATCCAATCTTTTGTTATCAGAGACACACTCCAGAGGCTGTTACTGGTGGACACAGCGTATGGCCAAGACATGGCTGGAGGGCGGGAGAGGAAGACCTCGGAAATTAAAATAAAGAAAAAGGAAGAAAAGGAAAAAAAAAGCCTTGGAGGGCCTGTCCAGGAGAAATCCCGAGGGAGGCCAGACCTGCGAGGATCCCGGGCCTCAGCCCACGTTCCCTCCCTCCAGGCACCCATTCTCCCCTTGGGACCTGACGGATGGCAGAAAGTCTGCGGACAAAACCAAACCAGAAAAACCCCAAGGTTCTTTCTCCCCCAGTAACTGCGGTCGAAGCGGGAAAACTTGACTTTTGCAACCAGAGTTGCAGCCTGACACCTAAAGAACGCAAATGGGTGGCGGAGGGGCGTTGTTTCAGGCTGCAGCATCCCAAAGTGCTGGCAGGAGGGGCAGGTGCAACCCATCCGCCCCTGGGCGACGCACCCGGCGGCACGTTACATCCCCCAGCGGGGTGCGAGCTTCAACCCGGGCCCCGGCAACCGGGCCCGCGCCTGCGCGTGCGCAAAAGGCCCACCCACCCCAGCTTGTCTCCAGGTGCGCTCGCGCTTCCGGCTGGCCTTCCCGGGGCGGAAACCACAGGGCGGGTGCATGCGCTTTCCAACTCTCCCGCTGGGTCAGAGAGGCCCAGGGCTTCAGGTGACCCGCCCCGCCCTCGCAGCGAGAGGCCAATCGCGCTGCGGTGGGCGGGATTTTCGAGAAGGTGGCCCGCCCACGCGCCCTGCAAGGCGTGTACCGATTGGTTGGCGCCGCGGGCGCAGGTGCGCGCTTCCTATTGGGTGTGGGCGGAGCGCGAGCCTCCGAGGCCTTTCGGGAGGCTGCAGGTGAGCGCGCCCGCGCGCCGCCCCTCCCGCCCAGCTCGGGTGCGCGCGCGCGCGGGCTCGCGGGGGAGGCGGCGGAGCGCGAGGCTGCGGAGCCTGTCGCCTCTGCTCCGCCCCCTCCGCCCCCTCCGTCGCGGGTGCCGCCAAGGCCCTGAGGGAGGGAGTCGCGTCCCCGCCGGCCGCGCGGCCAGTCCCGCCCTCGGTCTCGCCGCGTGAGGAGCCGCCCAGCGGAGCTCTGCGCGGAGGCTCGAGCCGCGGCCGCCCCTCTGCAGGTGCCTGTGAGGAGGCTCCCGGCCGCAGCCACGTCCAGAGCCCTCCGGCCACGCACTCTCTCCCCGCGCTCCTGGGGGGCGGCCCGGCTGCCGGAGGCCGCCGCGGGGCCCGGCCTCAGCATGAACCGCAGCCACCGGCACGGGGTGGGCAGCGGCTGCCTGGGCACCATGGAGGTGAAGAGCAAGGTGCGCGGGGCCCTGGCGGGGCGGAGCGGCCGTCCTGCTGGGAGGGGGGCCTGGGGGTGGCCAGGGGCTGGCCGGGGGCGGCCTGCGGAGCTGCCCCGGCGCCTGGGTCGGCGAGAGGCGCGGTGGTGGGACTTGGAGGCAGGAGATGGTGGATAATAAACTTGCCGAGGAGAGGGCGGGGGTGGGGGGGTTGTGTCTGCTCCTGGCCCGGGCAGGTAGATGACCCGTGGAGCACTTCGGCTCCTTCAGTCTCATTCCTGGTCGTGGGCGGGAGTCAGGGCCGGGATTCACCCCGGCCGGCCGAGCGCAGGGTGGTTTCTGAGCGTCTGGGCGGATTCCGCCTCCTGGCCTGTGAGTGAGAGGTCCTTGGGGCACCCGTGGCCACCACATGTCACCCGCTTCTGTGGCTCAGGGGTGCCTGGGGTGGCGAGAGGGGGCCCCGGGAGCCGCATCACCCCTTGGAAGCTGGCGTGGCTTCCCGCCGGGGAAGTTCCTGGCACCGGCTTCGGTATGCGCTGGTCCATACCGTGAACGCGCTCCCCTTCCGCTGAGTGGCACTCCGCCGGCTCACTCCCTCCTGCTACCTGTTCACGTCAAGTGTTGTTCCTTCTCGACCAGCGGAATGCCCGCCCGCCGATGGTGACCTCGGCACCCAGCGAATTCCTCCATGGCCAGGCGCCCCGAGCGGGGCGGTCTGCAGGGATGAGCGGGGGAGTGCTTCCCCAGGAGGTCCCGGGCTGGAATTGGACGGTGACCGGCAGCCACAGGAACCCTCGTGAACCGGAGAGCCAGAGGGAGCTTAGATCATCCAGTGTCATTCTCTCCAGAAGACAGGGGCTTCGGAAGGTGACGGCTTCGCCAGGCTCTGCTTGTAGGACAGAAACCTCAGAGCCTTTTTACAGGCACTTTGAGGCTTTGTAGAAAACAAAGAGAGGGCACTGGCTGGGCCCTGAGACATGGGAAGTAGAATCGGGAAGACCAAAACACACAAAGGGGTAGGAGAAGTAAAAGCACATCAACTTCAGAAAGAATGGGGCGCCACCGAGTGTAAGGCTACTTAGAAGGCCTCCCGGAGCCTGTGGGTAAATGGCTTTGATTATCTAGAGTTGATAGACAAAGTTCTGGAAGTTGTTGTAGCTGAGATCGTCAACTCAGGAATGTGTATATTCATTTTTAACGTCATTTTACAATGTACTCTGAAACTTAATTCATGTATCAGCATAGGCACTAGTTTCAGAAGCCTTGTGGCCTCCTAAGAATCGAAAAGTAATTAGAGCTGTTTAAGGAGTGCGTTCTTCCCTGTGACCCCCATGGAACTGCCATCGCAAATGGAAGTGACACATGCTTGAACTGAGGGTTTTAAGATGATTTAAAACACAGAAAACTGTTCCTCTGGCAGTATAGAAGTGGTAGTGGTTGAATCTTCCAATGGCATTTCTCTTATAAATCTAGGATGGTTTTGTGGGAGTTGAGGCTAAAAAAAGAAAAAACCAATATTGCATGATCTTAAAATTCAGTTTATGGTCCTAATTTTGGTAGCACGTCTTTAATTTTTTTGGTCACAGGGAGAAAATGAGTAGGAATTCTAGGTACACTGTTAAATACAACCAGACAGTAATTGATCTCCTGAGACCAGGAAACCTTGAGCTCTTGGGGACTGGAATTTCAGGCTTTCTGTCAACTGATTTGTGAATCTTTCCCATACTTATGTCTAACCTATATTATATATGGGACCGGCCATACTGCACTTTTCGTGAACTGTGTCTCTTAAATAGAACCAAGGCATTCTGAGAACCTGCAGGGAATGGAGTGTCATCCCGCTGTCACTCTAGCTGTTGATAAGTAGGCACGGTGTAAGCACTATTTCTAATGTGACACCTTGTGTTTCAAATATATGTGGTTGGCACATTTGTCTTTAATGGATTAAATAAAACACCTGTCATCTTTACCATTTAAAAATATTTGGACAGATGTTTTCTTTTTCACTGCTTTAGTGATAGCACGGCTTTTTACAAAAGTGATCACTGAGAAGTTAGGTTGTGACCACAACTAGGTGATGTGTAAACCCACATTTCTGGATCTCTTTGTTCTTCATAGAAAACAG